GGATTCCAAAACATTCTTTAAATTTTAAAAACTCGTCATCGAAGTTTGAATTAAATTTTTTTGAGTATGCAGTTTTTTAGCCCATTGAATTTTAGTATAATACAGTGCAAGTTTCAAGTAGCTAAGGACTACCAAAAATCTCAAAAATTAAAATTAAAAATTACATGTTGCCTCTGACGGCATTCGAACCCGAACATGCTGGGAGCTAAGAACTAACAGCGAGCATCTCTACACGTTCAGCTACAGCCAGACATGCAAATGTGCTTTCAAATGCTCAACTTCAATCACCGTTAAAACACGAGCAGTGATCGGATAACAAACAATAAGCTTGCGCAGAGACACGAGTTGGTCCGCTACAGCATGACAGAGGAACACTTTTGTAAGTACTCCAATTTACCACAAATAGACTACATGGTCCAAACATTTTTGCAGGGTAAGGCAGCGCAGCGCTTTACTCGACGACATATTTAAAATGAAATGGTATGCGATGAAATGCCCACGTACAAAAATTTCGCTGCGATAAGATTCCGTATGCGAGAAAACTGACAGTTCGTAAGCGAGCGCCCATAGCAGGTATAGACGTGCAGTTAGGGATACTCTTTACATGAGAGCATGGAGTACCTAGTCGCGGTTTTGCATTGTAGCTTAAGACACGTACAAACATAAACACATATGAGCAGCCGGCAAAGCGACGAGAATAGCGAAGAAAACAAAAACAAAATCACTTCGATTTGACTTCAACCCATCGCTTGAATTCTATGCGCGGACATATTTAAACACGTTGACTCTACGTCGGCGCATTGGCTAGCTTAACATGCGTACATATGGATGTACAGCGTGGCGACGAATAACTGTTACCCCGTTTTTTTTTTGAGCAATAAAAGGATCCTTTATAGAGTTCGCGAAAAAAGTATTTCATTGTTAATTTTCCACAGATTTTACTTTAGTTGTATTAATTAGTTAGTAAATTTTAATCCTGAATGAATGGCCGTCCTAGTCACCAGTTCCGGGTCTATTCGATTTATGAGTATGAGGCCTTATGTTGGATA